AACAGTGAAAAAATCGACTGTTGGGCAAACACACGTCCGCTTGGACAGAAATTTCTCGGATTTCACTTTCTTGAATGTTTTAAAAAATGTAAGCTTTTGAAGTATGTTTTCATTTAATTTCTTTTTAAGGTAAGCGACATTGTAAAAAGTTTGAATATCAAGTTAAAATTTTTACCTTTTCAAAAATAATTTTTATGCAAGAGTTTTACGAAATAATTTTTTTCGTGAATAAAAATTCATTATTTTATTTTTTTAACAATTCACTGCTAAGGATTAAAACATTTTACATTTACATATGAATCCAAAACATTTAAATCTAATATTTTCGATGTTTGACTGTAGAAGTTATTGTCTTCGAGTGATTTGACGTAAATGCTTGGTTTCTATCTCAATTTTTATTGAACGTCAATGGCAAGTCTTTTTGGTAATGATCTTTTTGTCTCCAATTGGTCAACTTTGCAATAATAGCTATGAACACTCAAATTCAATTATTAGAGATAAAAACATGAAATCAATCATATGTCAATCGTTTTGAATTTACGTGTAGAATATTTTATTGTAAGAATATGTGGTTGAAAATGAATACGTAAAAAAAAAAAAAAAACTTTTTGAAATAATGAAACCTTGGTGAGTTCCACGGTCAAGTCCAAGTTTGCATGCTAGAATCACGTGCAGTCCCCAAATTATTTAATCAAAGCTCAAGTAAAGGACATGGGAAGTTACTTCATAAGCGTGATTGACGGAGATTGAAATATAAGAAAATTTTGGAATACTAAAGTCAAGGGACCAATCGTTGTTAGTATCCGTTGTGGAAATGAACTCTCAAATTTGGAACTACACACAGTCTTGGTCGTCGATTATGATGTGGCAAAGGGGCACTGAAATTACATTTAAATTTCTTCAAATCAACTTATAATGTCTAAATACCAAGCTTTGTCAATTAAAAATTATTTTGTTGATTCTTTATAAGTGAAATTAATAAGTCAGTTTATCTTGTTGAGTAATTTGAAAGTTTTTGGTTCGAACGCTAGAGAAAATATTTCTTTAAAAACTTTATATTTGTAACTAAATATATTTTTATATTGATTTTTCATATTAAATTTTGTTTTCTAGTTCATCTATTCGAGTACATGCCAAATTTATTTTCATCAAATACTAATATATGCGTTATTTTTCATAAACAAATAAGAATAGAACTTGTATTCAAGGTTCTCATCTGTTTAATACCACAATGACCCATTTCATTTAAAACATTACAAGAAATCTCACTTCAAATTGATATAGGGTGTCGAAATAGATACAATCGGCCAAATCCAAGCGAGTTTCAGGAAGATCGTGAATCGCATCCACTGTTTTTAATTTATTTATTTTTCTTGTACTCTAGAATTTCATAACTAAAATTAGAAATTTAAAACAATTATACCAAGCATGGAGTACATAAGACCTCACAATTTTTTGGTCAAATATACAACTTTTCCACAAAATCCAATTCATGCCCGGACTTGGACTTTTGTTGTGCTTGATGGTTGACCTCAAGTCAACGTGAAATTAATTTTTTTTTTTCTTTTAAACATTAATCAATTGTTTTGAACTTAGTACTTATACAAGATTGGAGTATATGACCAAAACCAATTCAACTTTTATTAGCTAATTTAGTTGAGAAATAAAATGACACCTCTTGAAATTAGCAAGTACATCGAAATTGAAGTCCATGCTGAGTTTTAGCATTTATCAAGCTCAACTCACCACGAGAATAACGAAATCAAAATGTTTGAATTAAAAAGATCGAAATAACTTATACAAAGAGCAACATGAAAAAGTTAAAGCTTGAATTAAGTAGAGTTAGCCCCCTATTTGGTGCAAATTATTTCACCAAAAAAAAAGTTTAAATGCAAAATATTTTATTGTGTGAATATATGATTGAAAATGATCTTGTAGCACAAAGAGCCTCAAAAGTAGACACCAAACAGGGCTTAAACTCCATCTACCAAGTAAACTAGCATTGCACGTAGATTTCAAGCTTTCAAAGAGAGAAAAATTAAAAAAAAAAAGGAAAAGAAAAGAAAAGCATAATGGATAATTTTAATGAAACCTTTAGAAAAATCTAAGTTAAAATGAATAAAAAGCTATGGGCCCAAAAGTGACCCATAGAAAGAAGGGTAAAAAAAAAATCATAAATCAGGTATTAACTATCAATAAAATTAATTTTCAGGCCTTAAAGTTTAAAAATGCAAAAATCAGATATTTGTTAATTAATTAAATATATTAAAAACATAATTATGCAATTTATGGTCACAAATGCATATTTATTGGTAACATATTATCAAATTAATTAGTCACATATTATTTCGAGATCACAAATCAAAAATTTTATACTTCACAATTTATTTAATTGGTCACAAATCAAAAAAATTATAGGTCACATTTTATTCATCGATCACACATTTTCAAATTTGTTAGTCACAAATTATTTCTTAAGTCACAAATCATCGAATTTTAATGTCACATTTTAATAGTTAGTCACAATATCCAAATAAGTGGTCACATATACCAAAGCACCCCACCCACAATATGGATCCACCACCAAGTCACATATCAACTACACAAACAATATCCTACCACTGCCACCGTCACAACACCATCGCCAACAAAGCCGCCACCCGTCTCCACCATCCGTCACCGCCAACAAAGCCGCCACCGCACTAGCAACTCCATCGCACGTACCACCACAAACAGAAACACCACCAACACCACAACCGCACCAAACCACCACCAACACCATAGATCCAAAATCTCCACACACACACACACACCACAGTGCCACACCACACACCAAAATCACCATCCAAAACTCTTCCCCACCACACACCCACAGCAGCAGCGCCTCGACGCTGTGCAAGGCAGCTCGCGATTCACAGTCGTACGAGTGGAGATGGGAAGGAGAGGAAGGAGAGAAGGGAGAAGGGGAGGGGACGAGAACGCCGACAGTCGCTTCGCTGGTGGAGACGGGAGGGAAGGGGAGGAGAGGCGGAGAAGGTGAANGTTTTAATATACTACCTGATATTTGGAAAAATAAAATTGAAACCTGATTTTTTAAAATGTATACCTGACTTTTAAAAATGTCAAATTAAACCCCTGATTTTTTGTAATTTCCCTAGAAAGAATTTTAAAAGTTGATGGCCATTTTAAACCTATGCTGAGGCTTTGAGCCTCGTTTCTTTTTTAAATCTATAATAAGTTTATAGAATGTGTGGTTAAAAAGTAAAAAAAAAAAAAAATTGAATTTATGTGTGGTTGAAAATGAGTTTGAAAAATAAATAAATTATTAGATAACGAGGCTCAAACATGGACTAAATTTGAACAACACTATTCAAAATCTAAGGTAAAATGTTAATTTTTCAATTCCAGGTTCAAGTCCAGAGATTAATTTGTAAAAAGCTCTCTCTCTCTCTCTCTCTCTAAGTTCATAATTCCTTCAATGTAAATTCAAATGATCATTACAAATGTCTTTGACTTGGATGTGTCAATGGACCACAAAATTTCAGTATTGTTGGGCTAATGGGTATCCAGCACGAGATGCCTCAACCAAGGTTTGTTCGACCTCTTTAACATTTCATGCAAACAAGACAAACTATAATTTACAATACTAATCTATGCCATTCTTACAAGGTAGAAGACTCAATTTTATAGGACTACAAGTAACACTGAAAGGAAAAACTGTGTAAACAATCAACTGTTAAAAAAAAATAATAATAATAACCGCACACAATTGAGAAAATATTATGAAAAATAATATTTATATTCTTTCACGATCTTCAACATCTTCATCAAACTCAATATGGTATAGTTGCAACTAAATTGAGTTCGAAAAAATAAATTGATTCAATCACATCGTCTTCTTCCATGGGTCTAACGATACTTCAAAATTACTTTATGCAAACCAAGCCAAACAAAGAATTCAAAGGTAGAACGAAAGAAAAGTTATCATCCACCAATCTAATCAAATTGTCATTAAGATTTGAAAGACTCCCACAAGTATAAAACAAGGCCATAAAAGAGAGCCTCAAAATGTTTTAACAACCAAAACAGTCAAATAATAGACAATGTATAGCAGTAGCACTATAAAATTCATGGATTGTGTTACGGGTCGGTGTTAGACCGGGTCGATGTCAGACCTTTCACCTTACCCTCCACGTGTCAGAGGGGGTGGCCCACTCCATGACACGGTGGTCGAGGCGATTACTCTAAAAGGCTAACTGTAGAAGCCGAAGTGATTGCTTGAAGGACGAACTGAATAGGCGCCAGCAGACGAATCGGACCCATTCGCAAGTATGTAGTGGATGCAAAGGCCCGCACTCCGCTTCTACA